ACAAGTTTTTATAGCATCATTGTGCCATTATAGCATTTTCTATTTATTTTTACTTTTTTTTGAATGTATTCTAGATACAAAATGAAACAAAAACAATCTTAAATAATGCTTCTTTTGACAGCAGTCTAACTTGACAAGGACTTGACTGCTGTTTATTTTTTAAGAACCCAGCTTACTGCTCCAGTTTTTGGAGGTGTTTTATGCTTATGCTATGTATCCCCAATATTAAAGTTGAGATTTGAAATGCCAGAAATCCTTTCATTGAAATTGTATACGTAGCACTATCATAGCAAAACCCATAGCATAGAAATGTAAGAAATATAATCGTGACATTATTTGAAAGATAGTCTTATATCTTTGTTTTGATTTAGAATACTGCTTAAGTTTCAAATATTTAACATTTTTTTAGAAACCTCAAAACAAATAAGGATTTATAAAGGCCTAATGTACATGCCACAGAGCACATGAATGGTCAGGAATTTGGCATGCAACCCATTGTTTGCTTTCACCACTTTGTGATTCAGCAGAACCCTGCTAGGCTAGTAGTGATAAAGCAGCGCAGTATGTTGCCAAAGGAGTCAATGATCTTGGCCACCTTTACACTATAAATCTGAGTGGCATAACTGGAGTGGTGGTGGCAGGTCTGATTGTGATAGAGTATAACGGAGAGGCCGCCTGCTGAGCATCAGCCTGGGCTTGTACAGCCTTGCAGCCTCACCACACAAATTTAATAGCTCAGATCTTGGAAACGTCAGAGCTGCATCAGTACAGCATCACATCTCGGCTAAAAAGCCCAACCTCCCTGCAAGGTTAAACTGAATCAGGTAAAGACCAGCACCAGTTCTGATGTGTTTAAACAGAGGCTCTTTCAGTTATTTGTTTTTGCAAAGAGTTTTGAATAACAACATGAAAAATCTATTTTGCTTGCCCTCAAATTTTAGAAAATAATTTATTTAATGATCATTATACCTACACTGTTACGGTCTTGAGCAAATGTAGTTGACTCCAGGCTGGAGATCTGCATACGTTTTCTGTTGTGTTCTGCAGATATATCTAAGCGAAACCCAGACACCCCAATCCAGCTAGCTATGCAATCTATGTGGTGTATGGATAGCCATATTACAGTATTTGGTACCTGGCGTTTTGGAGTGGGGAATAGCAATGCCACCCTCTCTCTAGGATACATCTGCATTAGGGATTTTACTGGTGTGACCGTAGCTGGACATGTCCTTCTAGCGCAGCTATGCTAATACTAACATATTCCCATCAAGAACGACAACAGTGACTTCTTGGTAAAGCACTTTGGGATCTACAGATGGAAAGGGCTATGTAAGAACTGCATATTATTATTATTCCCCAGTAGAAGGGAAACCATAATGCTTCCACTAAACTCTGGCTTCTCTGGAGTCGAGGAGGAAGATTAAGTTCTGTGAACAATAGGTTAATTTAATAAGAAAGGTTTAATTATTTGATGTCATGCAAAAAATAGAATTACAGACTTTTGCATCCTTTCTAAATATGACTTTTCCAAGATGGACTCGTCGCAGAGCCTCAGGAGCTGTGTGCTGTGGTCTGTAATGGCAGTCCCAAAGGACCAGCATAGTCACCAGCATAGCCAAAGGACAGCCAGTTGCTAAGCAACCAACATAAGCATGCTACTCAGCGTTTATTTCATTTGTAAAAGGACATATTCTTTAAATTCTTTATCTTAGCTATTGAACGCAGTTTTCCAGCTGCTTTTCTCGCACTGCATATATGTGTGAACAGCCAATTTTAACACACAAATGTGCAATTTAAAACACCTGTGCCAAAGAGGATGTGCAAGCCTGGAAGGTTTGAAAAACGGACACAAGTATTTAACACTTTCTAACATCAGCATCCTGAATTTGCCTCTTTGTTTCTATGTTAGTCCTATTTGAAAATGGTGTGTCTTGATAGCTTAGATGTGTGGTAGAGCTGTCTGCAGAGTTTAATCGTGTTTATTGATGCAGCTTCTTTTGAAGAGTCATCTTTTTTCCTCTTACTGATAAACAAAAGCAAAAACTGGACCTCCAGTTTCCAGTCTGAAGATTCCAAATTCTGTAATTCTTTCAGAAGAACAGCTAAGTAACTTTTGAGAAAGAGCATTTAATGCAGTAGATCTAATTCTGCTTTCAGTTAGTGCTTGTCCCTATAGTGAAACAAAACCCTGAAGTTCTGCTAGACTTCTATCTATCTATTCAGCCCTGGTCTGGATAGTCTCTAGCAAAATTATCCTGAAGGAGCTGTTTATCATGTTTTCCTTTCTAAAGTACATAGGAGTACTGAGGCAGGTGGACATGCCATGTTAATATATGTTCCCATTGCCACGGCCTGAGCTGGAAAGATTTCCCAAGATGCATAAGCACTTGCTGAAATTGCCAGGCATCCTTGTTGTTTAACAGACAAACTTCACTTCCTTTTCATCCCAAATGTAATACTGGAATGGATTTATCCTGGAAATTTGGCCAGCTGCTGAAGAACCAACCTGCTCTTTCTTATACTACCTATAATGATCAGTTCTTTTTAGGCATCCTGCGTGGGGGAATTTGTTCCAGGAATTTTTTCCCTTATACCCAAATTTGACTCTTGAAGTTGTTTGCAAGAAACTCTACCAAAATGTAAATTTAAGTCTAGTATTCCTTATTAATACAAAGGTGTTCAGCTGCTAAATACAGCAGTTCACAGGCCTTGCCAGCATGGAATTCAGATTCTTGTACCGTATGAAAGGAGGAGAAATATGCATGAGCTAGAAATGCGGGAAGAGCCCTGGGAATCAAAGACTGTCTCTGAGTATTTGTTGTGCCTTCAGCTCTCCCTTGTTCTGCATTTGCAGAAATGTTTTGCAAAAATGATTTCAAAACCCGTTTGTAGGATCTGAAAATGAGAAGTTCAAATTTACAGTAATTTAACAATGAATACTCTTCTCCAGAAGAAAGAGTCAGTATTGCCGAAGAAAGAGTAAAGATTGGGCCATTTTAACTATTGCAGTTATCGGAACATTCAGAAAACTCTTAAAAAATTCATGGCAAGCTTAGTCAAACCCAACATTCATTACATTTTTGATAAATTGAAATTCCCTCCAAAATTAATTATGATACATTCAAATATTAAAAAATGTTGAAATAAAACCTTCTGAATAGGTGGTCCAGATTTCTCACTTCTTTTTCCACAGGCAGCCCTCAGACTGCATGAGCAGATGGCACAGTGCGCACATGCGATTCTTCAAGAATGTCACCTTTTTCCTGGAAAGAAGTCTGTATGCATGTTGGTTCTGCTCTGTAGCAGGCATAGCAAGTACATTCATTGGCTGATCTTTATATTATCTTTTCTGATTATCTTGTGGTTTCATCCAAATGCTGTAGGATGTAAATTCTGTGGGTAGCTCAAGGGTGGGTGCAGTTCAGAGGCTGATATCTAACACGTTTTGTACAGATCCATAAATAATAAATTATATCATTCTGTTGCCTTAGCCATTCTGCATATACAAGTTTCCATCTGCTCACAGCCTCCTGCTTGACAGCCAACAGGCTAACACTGTAGTGCTAGATCCTATAATGTAGCTCTGAGATTGGGAGCAAGAGGGCAAATTTGCTGCCTAGCCAGGCAGCCTGGTCAGAAAGAGACAGGTTTTCATTTTGAGATGGTAATGACTGGTATTTTCAGCCCCATATATTTCATCTGTAAAAGTAAATTCCTGGGTGTCCTGCTTTCTTTGGGGAGTACTGTCCAAAAGCTTCTGCTTCCTGTTTCTTTGAAACATTCAGTCTTCAGTGATCTCAGGCTGCAGACAGGCACAACAACAAGCAGCCACCCCCAACCCTGTCACAAGTTGACTTGAAGAATAACTCCAGGTACTTAAACTGACCACATCAGGAGCAGACTTGCTTAATGAATGAACAAGCAGGGAAATCTGACAGACTGCAGTTTTTTTGAATCAAGCCCAAACAAAATAATGAAGTCAGAAAAAGGATGAAATGAAATAGGCCACTTGTTTTTCAGGCTGCTTGAAAAGCGTTTCACTGAAAGATTTGCTGAAATTTAAAAAGAACTACAACAGTGTTTAGCTTTGAAAAATCGCATTTTTCATTAGAAGTAGGTTAATCAAGAAATGGTTAACTAGCTCCGGAAAGAGGACATCATGGGGGGAGCATGAGTTGAAAAAAAGCTGTAGAGAAAATAATTTACAGACAAAAAAGCTAGCAAAAATAAAAGGCAAGGCTATCTTGAGCAATGATGTGTAATACTAAATTGAGTAAAGGGCAAAAAGTGAAGTGTAGGGTCACAGAAAATCTAAGCTAGCTCCAGTTAAGCTTAATTGGGCACACAGAAACTGTGTGCCATATTAGGCATATGTGCCACACTAGCATTAATTTACTATTGATTCTTAAGGTAAGCTGAGACAGTTGCCTGCCAGATCTTCAGCCAGTCGGAGAGTCTCTGAGCAGCAGTATACACTAGCACTTGTAAAGATCCTAAAGGAACCAGTAATCAGAAAGGGAGATTACAGAGAACAAATTTGGCCACAGTTCAATATTTCTATTAATTTTTTTGAAGTAACTTTGAAGAAACCTTAAGAGAAGGAAAAGAAAGTATATGGGGAGGCATAACTTTCTCCTAAGGGTGTATTATATGCTCTCTACAAATTATTTCAGAATCTAAGAAGGAGAAAAAAGGAAGTTAAAATCGAAGTGTTTAAAACATTTAACTCAATATTATTGAGTAATTTTCAGCTGTAAACTAGCTTGCATTTTAGAATCTAGGTAACAAAAAAATCCCTTCATACTACCAATATAAACATGTTTTCTCCTTCCCTCAGCCAGATGTAGTTTATGCATTAACAGGGACTTTCTGCTAGAAGCTTCTTTTCTTTTACAGAGCCACTCCTCTGGGATTTCGGCTTCCTGGTTGGTTACTGTACTTGGTTGTCCTGATAAGAGAGCAGGTGGATCTGAACAGCAGCCTAAGTTACTGACCTGTTACATAGAAAACATTTCCTTTGGAAGCATATTTCTCCTTTGATACTTCAGAAATGAAAATTGATATTCATAGTCACATCCTACCTAAGGAATGGCCTGATCTAAAAAAGGTAATAAAACTTTAGCTATTCAATGACTTATTTTATCGTCAACTATTGCTATTAATGCAGTTTTTGAAAAATTAGTGAATGAAGGGTTTTGTATCTATTTTCAGTAAGTTTCTGTTTAATTTGATTTTTTTCCAGACATAAGATATTTGCTGTTACATTACTTTGCAAAGCAAAACTTCCAGTAAAAAGGGGATGGAAAACTGAGCTCTGTTCATTGCCAAATGATGAGGTATAAATCCCATTTTCTTGATGAAACCATAGATAGGGGAATATCTTCATAGCTATGAAGGGCTGTCAAGTGTCCAAATGGTATTCACTTTTGTTTTAAACACATGTAAAAAGAGAAATAAACAAATATTAGAAAAGATTAATATTACCTAAGGCAAGAGTAACTCACATCTTACAGCCACAGGCATGACAGTCATTAACTTCAGTGGGTATGGGGTCAGTTTAAATATCGTTAACCGATGATAATGGTTGACTATTTTACTAGTATCGCTTTACTATTATTTTTTCAGCTGCTGGAAAGACGTAGCATATTGCATCATGAATACAGAATCTCATTTACTTAGTCTTAGTACTGGCCAGAACACAGAAACTATAAGTTAACTTGTTTTGACTTTGAATCTTTGCATGGTATTATTATTATAATTCAATTATATAAATGTAGTCTTGTCAGAAATAATTTTCCTGGTCCTATGAAAAAGTATTTGAGAATGAGAAGGGCTATTTAGGTTTTCGTGTAATAAATCTAATCCTTTTCTTATTTCAGATAATTAAAAGCCATACAATCATCTGATTTGAATTATTTTTTTAGAGTTATAGCCTGAATAATTATTAACAGAATTGTATATAAAGATAGCTGATCCCTTTTTGACTCCTAAGGGATTGCATATTCAATACTACAGAGGGCACTGAAAAAGTCACTTTAAGAACATCACATAATAAAACTGTCTCTCTCATATATATAGACATACATACATACATACATACATATATATATATATATAAATGTAGTTATTTGTGTTTTTAAATTGTTCTTTAAAAACTCCTCCCTATTTCCATTCCTATTACAGAATTGGGCTGGAAAAGATGAGACCTGTGCTGTTGCCTTTATATTTCTCCTACTGTAGTTCTGTATCGGCAGTAGTTTGAATGAACATTCCTCGGGTTTATCAGTAGTATGGAGCCATTTGATTTCATTGTGTGCTTATCTTTGACATCAAAAGAATACCATTATTTCGGTCTTGCTGTTTGGCACCTGATGTGCTAACTGAAACTCTGTTTTACATTGTACATCCTTTCACTTTGGTATTTTGAGGTTTCATTTTCTTCCTGTTGATGGCAAAATCTTAGGTAAGCATTTCAAATGTGTTGGCCCTGTGTTTCTGTGACTGTTAAGCAAAAGTCTGGCATCAATTCAATGTTAGCCAGAGATCAGCTGGAAAATGTAAACAGTATTTTAGAAAAAAATAGTGAGGAAGCCTGAAGTTAAGAATATACATGGGATTATTTCTTCATTAGTAGTCAAAAATAGCATTATTAAGCATAAAATTCCTGGACTGAAATGTTTGTCTTCTCTTTTACCTAGGAAGTGCTTTTTAAACATCTGTCCGGTTATATTATAACTCCTCCGTGAAAAAGCATGTATACACTGGGTAACGTAGGTCGAATGACAGATTTTTTTTTAGAACTATTATGTCTGTTTTAAGTAGGTAGGTGTTTAAATATCCAGTCCCTGGAGACAGGGTACTCTTGCTTGTTCCATATTTTGTCATCCTTGTTTGTGCAAAGTCCCTATAAAAACACCCTTAAAAGCCCTTCATTCAGATTTTGCATGATTAAAGAAGCTATATTTTGACTATATATACTTTAAAAGGGCAATGAATTCATTGGAACAAAATCACCTCAAGAATCCTTTGATGTTTATGAATGTACATGAAGGATTAATTCAGCATTTTTTCACCCCGAGTTCAGCTGTAGGCCAATGTTGCATTTCTTTAAACACTAATTAAAGAGGTTAATGCTAAATTTTTAAAAGTTAATTTCCACCTGCCAGTTTTTATGCATGTGCAATCGCAGCCTTCTGTTCTAAAGTCTCAGTCTTTTCAGAGGCTTATTAGTGGCTCTAGAATAGAGAATACCTCTCTGAATTCCCTAGAGTCCTCTGAAAACTCAAGCTGTTAACATAGTTCTCTACATGTTATGCAGGGAAAACCAGACAGGCAAAAAATGGAAAAGTGGAGAGGACTGAAATTGCATATGCACCAAAAAAACAACAAACGAGTAAATTAAGTGAACTGAAAACTGTGCTTTGATCTCTTCCAGAGCTAGTAATATTCAGGGCAAATTGTAAAACAGTAAAATCTATTCTTAGGAAGTAGTTTTTTTATGATAAACTTTTAATCCTAACATGCACGCATAGTGATAAATTTTTCTTTCTTTTTTTCTTTTTGTTAAAATTTTTGTAGCCTCTAAGTACCGAATCTTGAATCTATGACTAGAAATTTCTGTTGTCAAAACATATATTTATATAAGAGCTTAGGAATCCATAATTTGTATAAAAATAAATAGAAATTAGTGACAGGCTTCAATAAGGACTATCAATGCATCCAGCTAATAACTAATGTTTCTAGGTGATGAAAATAAAAGAAAATCAGCTTCTTTCATTTTTTTTGTATAAGCAACTTTAAATCTCTCTGGAAGAATCAGTGAGCATCGAAGCTTCTCTTTTAAGCTTCTCTGGGCTGTTTAAATATTAATAGACGAGAGACAATGACCTTCAGTCCTGCTGTTGAGTCCTGGAAGCTGAAAAGTGGAATCAATACTTCTTTGTGCTAATGATTGACTTGTTGCAGTTTGTTAGGATCAGAAAATGTGTCAACTCAACGTTCATATTGCCAAATGCCTGATTTGAACCAAATTCCAATAATGAACAGTAAAAAAATCTAATAATATTTTAAGCATTTTGAAATCAGTTGTAAGACTTCTCTAAAAATATTGTTGACCTGAGAGCTAAAAGCTCAGTTCTACAAACACTGTTAGGCCAGTCCAGCAAAACCGCAGGACCCTTGGTGAAGTCAAAGGGGTTACTCAGAGGCTGAAAGTTGAGCGTATGCTTAGGTGTTTCTCCTGATTATTATTGCAGAATGCTCACTAGTTACTAGCTTTTTCTTCTTTCTTTCACAGAGATACGGATATGGTGAATGGGTTCAGATGGATCATCACTGTAAGGTTTGTGCTGTTTGGTCCTCTGAGATAGTCTTGTATTTTCCTCAGGACTACCCACTGACAGGGAATCCATTAAAAAAACTAAGTGGCAGTAAGATTGACTGTCTTTGATACAGATTTCTCCTCTGTGAAGCAACGTTACGCCAAGTCCTAATATACCTCAGTAGATCTTTTTGCTTAAGAGATGATACTCAGTATAGAGTCACTTCACATTCTCTCGTATGAAGCAGTATCCAGTTTTCCTCGTAACTTCATGTTAACATTCAGAATGGATCTCTTTAAGGAATCATTTTCAATAAGATACACTAATCTAAAACACATGACATATAGAACTTTTTTTAGTTAAATGTAGTTGTCTGTATGAGAAGCAAACACAATTGGGACTAATATTTTAATAAAAGGTGGAGAACTAGGACATGAACATTCATTAAAGAAGATTAACTTCCATATCTTCGAGACAAGGAGAGCAAATAGTGGTTTCAGTATCCAAGAATGATAGGGACAATATACAGGTTTTTGGGACCATACTATAGAAGAGTAGGCGCCTGAGTTTTTTTGGCAAGCAAAAGGAGACTGGATCTGATTTTGCTTTACCCTTTTATCACCATTCACTCTGTTAACTTTACAAAGGCACTTCGGAGCTACGTAAGAATAACTGGAACAACGTATCTGCAGATGCCATGAGGCTATGCTAACAAACCATCTGCATTCTGAATCCAGTCCTGCTGCTAGTGAAGTTACTAGAATACATGTATGCTCTCTGATGGGAACAAAACTAGTTTCTTCAAGGCCTGATTCTGATCTCACTGCCAGTGAAGCTTATCAGCAGTAATTGCAGTGATATTCACAGTGATACAACATTGTAAAACTGGTATAAGCAAGATCAGAGTGAAGCACCTTGTCTTTTAATTTGATTAGCATTAAAAAATAACCAGTATAGTGTTCTTTTTTACAGGAGGGCAGGGTTAATATGGCAAAATAACGCCCTTTGTACGTTACGATATAGGTTAATTTTATAACCTAGTTTTAAAGATGTTACCTCTGTTAGCATGTAATAACTTTGCCAGTCAGATATCACTGCATAGCTCAAACATTGGCACAGGTAGTCACTTTCCTCCTGTGAATTGACAGCTCCCCAGTTCTAGGAATCCTCTGGCAAGCTTGTCGCTGCAAATGGTTTCAGGCCCAAAACCAGGGAAGCTGTCCCTCCATTGGCATGCCAGCAGCGGGGCAGGGCAGGGCAGGGCAGTGGAGGTTCCAGGTTACCTCCCCTTCCCTCCCCCTGTCCTCCACAGAGAGGGCACACTGGGCAGTGAGAGCCATAATGTGAAAGTCAGAGTAGCTCCTGGTCATAATGTTAATTAAAATAGTAAGTTACTTTATAGTGCATAAATGACATTTTCTACGCATGGAAGATAAATTCCTTTCCATTATAACAGTTACAGGTGAATAATGCAAGGCACGTAGACTCAAGGAAAAAGGCAAGCTCATGTGAGGGTCCTACTATAATTATGTGAAATGGGATATTTTTCCATTGACTTCCGTCATTGCTGGATCTGGACTCAGGATTTCCTTAAGGATGGGAAGAGAAATGTGTTTTATGAAAGGCGGTATAAGAAAGAGGTCACAGAAGACCTGAGTTCACTTCCAGCCCCACTTCACATGTAGCTGTCCTAACTTGAGAAATTCTATCTGTAATTGCTGACCACAGGAACACTGTGAGCAGTGCAGATTCCAAAGGAGTAAAGGCAGTGCAAGGCGTTAGCCAGATAATTAAGGAAAAAAGATAACAGGGGAGGGGTGGATAAGCGGAAATAAGAACAACTTGGATATAGTAAGCTGCAAGACAAAAGATGCAAGGTATAAGCGTGAACAGCTTAACAAAGAGTGTCAGAACATACCCCACTTAAAGCATGTAAAGAGTGCAATTTAAATACCTCGCTAAACCCAGCTATGTTCTGTAATGGCCAGCTGTATGCGTAGTGTATTTAACGAGGGCTGGTCTGGATCTATCTTCTGAAATTCAGCCATGATCTCCATATAGGAATTCTGTAATGACAAGTAGAGGGATAAGACATGCAAAGATTTAGTCACTAGATTTTTTGGAGTGACATCTCCACTCTCTATTTGGGATAGCCCTATAAAGACAATAGTATCCAATCTTTTCCCCATTGTTTCTTTTTGTGACTTAGCTAATTCCTTTGTGCTCTGTAGAGATGGAACTTGTATTGTTTTTTTGAAGAAGTGAGACTTACATATCCCAGGTAACCAAGGTATTTAAATATATAATTTCTGTTAACTTCAGTGGAACTAGACATTGCATCCCTTTGTCAGTCTAGAAAATCTCATTTCTTTGTGATCGTATGTACGCATATGGTAACTAAAAATAAGCTGATAAAATATATGCAGCACTTGATTTATAGCAACCTAGTGGCATACACGCTGTTGTCATTCTACGATATGCAAGTCTGCGCTGTCACATGCCTATTAACTCTTTATGAAGTGGGGGCACAGAGTATGAAGGCTGGGACCAAGACTGCAGAGCAAACAGAGATTATGATGACATTCCAGATTTCATCAGTTTTGTTCAAATTTCAGTCTAAGCAGGAACGGGAGGAGAAAAGAAGCCACCTGCTAAGTGTGGATGGCACAGCTTCTGAGATAGATGGCAAGTGCAGGAAGGAGAGAGACTTGTTGAAGACATTTTTAGCAGCTGAGCTGTTTGGTAGAGGTCTGATGCTAAAATTCTTTGCTAAAAATAGTTTGCAAAGGAACTTTGTGGCAAGTCAATAATAGCCTTACATGCTCTGCAGAGAGTTCTTTCTAGCCTACTTCTGTCTGCATGAGAAAAGTGCACGATGGAGAAAAAAATCCTGTGTAGCTATGTGGAGCTGAGGATAAAACAGATATTTTTTGAGATTTAAAAAAAAGGAAAACCTTCACATATTATACAGTGAAGAAGCATCAAGGCCAAACTGAAAGAAAATAATTACATGTATTTTTAAAGAGGTGCCATTTGGGATGTAACTGAGCAGTTTAGTAATGGGATAAATTTAAATGTAGCTTGCTGAACTAAATCAGGCTGCTGGACTTCTTCTTAAATCTCTCTCTTAATTTCTGAGTAAATTCTTTGAAACCTTAAATATTAGATGACATTAAAGAAAGAGATGATAAGACTTCTTCAGCTGTGCCCTTAGAAAACTGTGTTACCATTGCAAATAAAGATCTTATGTCTTTTATGCAGGCTTCAACCTTGCATCCATTGCTTTGGAACCTAAACAATTTCTTTTTCATCAGAATGTATTTCATTCTTATTACCGCAAAAACTCTGAGCGTTGTTTCTCAATTAAGGTGTCTTGAGTAATTTCCCACTTTAAAAGTGTCAGGTGCAGATTAGTGGCGGTGTCTGTAGCAATAGGACTGATTTTCCAGTTGTTGGGCCAGATCTTTCTATCCTTACAGGTATGAGTAATCTCATTGAGCCACATGAATTTATTCAGAGGCGCATGTTCTGCTTTCCTGCATAACGAACTTTGTTGTTGCCTGCACACAAAGCTGTGAATTTAAGCTTGACCTGTAGCATATTCGTAATTACAAAGACTCAGTTAATGCGAATGCAAACAGTAAACTGTTAACTAATTCTTTAATGAGAACAGCACAGATCCCGTTAGAAACCCTTCCTATATTGCCTAAGCTGTTACGGCATTCAGTGACCTACTGTTCATCTCAGCATTTATGTATGAGCACTGTCAAGGTTGCTGGTAAAATTGCAATCTGTCTAACATTGTTTTCAGTATTAGCAGAAAAAAAAATATGTAAGCAGTTTAGCTGCTATGCTAACCTGCTGCTATGCTGTATCGGAGGAAAGAATCAAAAGTCGCCTGTGTTCACCGAAATACTCCCAGTGGTAATCTAATAAAGGCCACGTGATCTGTTTGTATGTGACGTAATGCTTAGGTTCCGCTGTGCCTTTTTCTCTGCTCACACTCCAAATGCTTTTCTATTTATGAGGCAATATGCAGCAATGGACTGATTTTTTTGTTTTATGTATTGCATTGTATGGCTAGAGTAAACCTTTCTGTCAGGTTGGAAAATCAATTTTATAAGAACTTGTAGTATTTTGCCAGAGGATCCAGGACTATGTAGTTGTGATTACAGACTGTGATATTTCCAGTAATTTTCTGAAATTGTGATGTAGCTACCAACTTGACAGTTTGCTAAGGCAGCACAGTTAGATATGTGGAAGAGGTCTTTAAAATATTCATTAGGGCAGTATATTTGTGAATGATGTATGAAGCTAATAACAAATTCAAGGTTAAGAACAGTCTGACTTCTCAGAAGGAGGAGACATAAACCTGGCTTTGCTGTAAGTAGTGAGATTTTATTAATTATTTCTGTTGCAGAATATACTAGCAGGAAATATTCTGATTTAACAGTTTTTTATATATCAAGATAACAGATGCCTAAGTAGGCATCCTAAGTAAACTGATTTTGTGGGAAGAATTAAAGGAGCATGTGGAGAGACAGAATTCCCTTCCCTAGGTCAGAAGACTGCACTGCACTTAGCTTCTGTTTACTGCGAAGATGAAAGAGTAGCTGTTTTCCTTTCTCACCTCTTGTTATGTGGTTATCAGTTTTCAACTGCAGATTCAGTGCCCTCTCTGTCTAATATTTCTGCTGCATGACCACACTTACCTATCCCATATACACAAGTCAAGTGGCTATTCTGACTTTCATCTGTTTCCAATTATCCCCAAAATAGCTTAGAGCAACCAAAAATACATAGAGCTTGCAAATATTGGTGAGTTGCATCTTATCAATTTGTGTAAGTGTAAGCCAACTGAAAAACTGTCTGTTGTCTGTCTTTTGGTATTGAATTGGTAATTCTAATTACAAGTCCATAGGCGCATGTGGCTGCATACAACTTTAACAAACATTTTTATTGGCTTAATGTAACAACACTGTGCCCACTCGTCGTCCTTGGAGAATTGTCAAAGCCACCAAAAATGAAAGAAAGTTTCCATGTTAATAATTAAAGGATCAGTGTCAAATCTGGTGACCTTAATAATGTTTTGAACTTGTAAGTTTGGGAATTGGTTGCTTCTGAGGGAGGTATTACACTATAATCATTTTTATACTGTGTTTACATTTTCCTTTGGTCTTTTCTCCCCAAATACAAAATCTTCCATATTCCTTTTCTTTCAGTCCCAAGGAGAAAATGTAACCTAAAGACAAACAAAATACGTCTGACTTTTGTCTCTGTTTCACTGGTGTTCTGAAACGACTCGAATGAATTTAACAGAGTTGCACAATTATTTCCGTAGTTACTGGAATCATTTTGATGCTATTGACTTTAAAAGAACACACGCATCCCCAAGGGCAACATTTAGCTCATATTTAATTTGAGCGCAGTTTTGAGGTCAAATTTTGGTTTGAGGATAAACCTTGATTAAGGTACTTGATATCTTTCTCAAACAAATGTGAGGAGATACACACTGCATTAGAAAGGGGATCTTTTTATTATGAAAAAATAACTCATTCAGGTCCTCTGAACTATAAATGATATTTTAAAATAGTCTTTGATTAAAAAATATTTTAAAATATCTACTGAATAAAAGTTAAAGAACTAAATTCTGTCGCTGAATATCCATAGGGAGCACAGTATACCCAAGCAACTATATAAATTATCATGTACTATTTTGCCACATTTATAATATATGAAAATGTCATTTCACAGGGACAGGCAAAGATGATGAAGAATGGAAAGGTGTTTAGAGTTATTCAAGAGAACTGCTGGAATCCAGAAGTACGGATTAAAGAGATGGACCTATCAGGTACTTCCATAAAGGAAATTAAATCATTGTGTCTCATACAGGATAATAACTTCTCTGTTAGTGCATCTTGAAGTGCTTAATAACAGTGTCAGAATTAAAAGGTCTTGCAAACTGATTTGTTAGCTTACGTCTGTTAAAAGTCAGCGAACACTAACATGGTTTACACTCAGACTCAAAAAGGGACACATTCCCAAAACTTTCCTCACTTTCAGTAGCAACTTATTCCTCACATGGACTTAGTAGCTACCCTAACTAAAGATGGCAGAATGTAGAACTGAAAAGGCAACATGCATTGCAAGTATAAAAGTGCCTTACGGAAAGGATGAACATGTTGAAGCCCCTGCATTTTTGTTCCAAATGTTAAAAATAATGTGGATACTCATAGGATTTTGTGCGTATTTGTTTCCTTTTCTAGCATTTTTTCTAGTCTGATGTTGCAATTTTGTCCTGTATTTTTACTAGACGATTCTGGGCCTAGAAAACGGGTACAATTACTTTCTCGGGAAAGAGAGTTTTCCTGATTTAGAAAGAAGACAAGCTTAGCAAATTTATTTTCCACAGGGTTACTGATAGGCGGTTAAATGTGGTTTGTAAGATAGGAGACTGTGAATGAGAGAAGGAATTTTCAGTCTAATGGATGATTTTTTTTTTTTTAGTATTTATTAACACTGTGATTCCAAATTACTTTTGTGAGAGAAATATCAAGTTATTAAAGATTATTTTTTCTTCAATTGAACCGAGAATAATTCCCTACATCAATTTCTCAGTAGACAAAACCTGAGCATCTTCTCCAACTTTTCAAAAAGAACAGATACATCTGAATTCTTTCAAAGGGCGTATATTTTAAACATAGTCTATCTGTGATTATTGTTTCTTCCTCTCATGCGATAGCATGTTAGGAGACGCTTTTGGTCATTCTCCCAGTTGAGGTTTACTCTGCAGTACATAACATAGGGCAACTTAGCAACTCAGGCGCTGGTGAGCAGTTTTTTTCTTGTCATTCAACCACAGTGTGGATCATGAATAGCCCTTTGGCATCTTTTCCTTTCAGATATTTCCTCTAGCACTACTGGCAAGTTTCTGTAAAACAATCCTGCCCCATTTAATTCCTCTAGATAAAGGGAAAACACAAGGGCAATTTTCTCAACTTTTTGCAACAGCTCTCCAAAAGAGAGAATGTATCATAAAACTAACACCACGATATTTCTCCACAGACTAAATAAACAGTGCTCACTTGTTAATAAAAATAATTTCTAAAACTGTGTGTTACAGCACCATCTGGTGACTTTTGCCATAAAAATGTCCCCTTTTATTACAGCACTCTAGAGAAACTGCCAACAGCCAATTAAATGTAAAAAAAAAAAAAACAAAAAAAACCCTTACAGTTTTTCATTCTTATCATTCTTCTAATGATAAAGACTATGGGCTACATTTTGTTCTTTTTCTGTTCAAAAGGTGTAGCTACTTACTTCAAAGACACCTTTGTGTAACAAAAAACAAGGTAGATTATGTGCAAAACATTAACCCCCCCAAACATGTCACAATTTTGGAACAAAGATGCAGGGAGTCTCCTAGCTGAACAAAACTAGTGTCAGTCATTGTAAGGTGTTGTTAACTCAAGAGAGATTGGATGGCTTGGACCTTGGTTGCTAAAAGGCTTTGTTTGTGCAATGCTCTAGAAATCCTGCCAGTGGTAAGAAATGGTAGCCAATGTACTGAAGACAAGAAATTAGTTCTCGTAATCATATGTCATAGGTCCAGTCAGCATACAAGCCTGTGTTTTGAACCACTCACTAAAACAAGCTGTAAAGGCAACTAACATCACGGTTCTGTGACACAAATCATCGCAGTTTTGGTGGAGGAAATCTTCCAGTTAATCCTAACTGCCTTTTCTTATTATTTTTATCTTGGAAAACCCTCTGAAGAGATGCTTCCTGCTTCAGCTATGACATAGACATAGTAAAATGCAGTTCTGTGTGTCATCACAGTGGTGCAGTTAGTAATGACATGCCTGCCGTTACGGTATATCATCTGCTAATCAGACTGCATGGAGAGGATTCTGAAAGCTAAGGGAAATCATTTTTTAAATAGAGTTTTTTTCTGTGCTGATCCATCTTCTTCCTAACTCTACTGTCTGAGAATGTTCAGCATAGAAAGCTACCTTCAAGACTTGTGTTGCATTTGTCTTGTAGTTCACCTTTCAAAAAACTGGAATGTCAGTATGATGTTAAAAAGCTCTCTCCCTACCAAATATGGAAGGCAGAATTCTGGATTCTAGGAATTATCCTATGACTCAAGAAATCTGACACTAGTCCTCTTAAGTTGAGGATCATGCTGTTTTACTTTAAAAATCAGACCGCTGAGGCTCCTAACTGCTGACTTGGTTGCATATCAGTCGCAAGAAGAAGTAAATAACAAAGTTAAAAGGGATATGGAGTACTAACTAGTCAAAGTTCATTTTGTGATCAATTAATATTGAAAAATACTTGGACATCTGTGTCATGCCTTCAGGACAAGCTGATCAGAAACTAGGAGTAAAAGAAATGAATTTGCATGAAAAAGGAATTTGAATAATTCAATCCAAAAACATCAAGCAGATTCTAACAATTAATGACTCCTAGGGGAATGGGGAAGAGAAATGCAGGAGAGAGCAAGGAAACAGTTTGGTAAACAGGATCACATAGAGAGACAGACTGCTGTTACTATTAAAGCAGTATGGTATTCCAAAGCAATCAGTGGGATCAAATGCAATGGAAATATGCATCAACACACGAGTCAGTAACAGCAAAATAGAGAAAGAATTGTGCACTGTCCTAAGTAATACAAGTTACAACTTGTCCTTAGGAAGGAAATGTGAAAAACTTTATTACAATTTTTTTAGAAAACCTAAGTAGGAAAGGATTATTAAGAAAAGCAGCTGGGTGGAATAAAGGGCTTTGCTGAAAAGTGTAAAATGGGATTGGAACCAGATGCAACGCTTATCTGCGGAAAACATGGGGAATGTTCTCAAAATTACTAAGTGTCCAGTAATATACTGGCAGAGAATACAGTGAACTAGGGATCAAGACTTCAGTGCTCTTCCATATGCTTTGCATTTGGGGAAAAATGGGAGATGCTTAGTGCAAGGGTCTAAATTCTGGGCATCTGAATCATAAGTTAGGCTATACTTAAATATCTATGTCATTTTGTAGATCTAACCCTTTGGTCCCTGCCATCCTGCTGCCTGTAATGTTAATCAAATCTTGCAAGACAGCTGCCTTAGTTAGCTTTCTCTGTTACTTCTTAAAGCTCTTAGTGAGAAGAAAGATAAAGTCATTGTGTTAAACGTTGGAGCGCTTTGGCAAGAAATTAAAGAAATTAAAAGAAATTTTCATAGGATTTTCATAGGATTTTTCTGCCTTCTTTTATATCAGTAATTTCATTTTTAACAACTATGTTAAATTTTCAAAAGCCTTGCAAATATGCCCATGAAATGTGATGATAGGAGAGGAAGCCACAATCAGATCGGTAATTACATTTTTCGATTTAACTGTTTAGTGAATTCCTAATTGTTGCTTATTCCTTCTATTGTTAATTTGCTAGGTTTGGTAGGTTCATTCCTGTATAAAGTCACACACAAAATTATGGTGGGGAGTTTTATTTGAACAGAAACTTAACAAAATAGAAGTTAATTCTCTTTATTGTTAAAATCAAAGTTATTTCTAACAAAAGACAAACTTTTTCATCCTTAAAACCTCAGTAGTCCAGAAACAGGTGAATCAAACCCATCACAATATCACTTTGGGAAGCACTTAGAAAAACATTCTTTAACAACCTTTTTATCTTTGAGCAAATTTACGTATTTATTTATGAAATGTAGGTGATAAACATGACCCCACAGTAAACCTGAGATACTGCGTTCTATTGGCTTAACATAACTTCACGTTCATTCATGTCATAGTAACATTAAATGGCTATTTTACTTAATTTTACACATGGCATAGCAACAACTTTAAAATCAAAATACTTAGTTTCACAAAAGTATGAAAGCGTTCTTTTTCTTTCTACTTAGCAAAAATATTCCAGTTGTAATAAACTGATACACCACAAGATGTATTACCATGACCCTCCATTAGCAAAAAGCAGACTCTATCCATGCCAACGATAAATCATTTTTTCTTACATTTAAACCTTTAAATTACTAGGCCTTTGCCTTTCAAACCAAAGTCCTTTCTTGTTTTTAGCATTTTACAACAAAACAAAAAAAAAAGGTATATATGTAACATTAATAACTGCTGTTTTCTTTCACAGGTGTCACCGTCCAAGTTCTTTCTACAGTCCCTGTAATGTTCAGCTACTGGGTAGGTTCCTACTAGCATATTCTGTAACTCGTAGATATTACAAGATATCTTAAAAATAAAGTGCAACCTCCTGTGAATGAGGTGATTAAAGTAGTTGTTAGATCCCTGAAGTAAATGGGGAACTGTTCTGCTGTGAAAAACAAAAGACAAAATAGTCCAAATATTGGAAGAGCCAGCAGGATGTCCTGGCAAAGCTCCACTCTGGAGTACGCTCAGAAAAAAGAATGAGACAGCAACAGAATTTCTGCTGGGGACTTTATCAGGAGTAGCTGCAAGCATGGAGCACGAATCCATCATTTAGCAGGAAAATATATATGGATCGATTCCATGGAAGTTAGATATTAATCACTATTTTCTCATGAAAAGAAGAAGTAAAAGATATATTTGTGGCCTAATCCCCCTTTCTGTTAAATGTGCTGGGGGAGGATAACTGACTGACTCGGAATACTTTGCATCTTAAAATTCACAAGCAATTTAAATATATTCTATGCATTGTGATTTGAACGCACCAAAGAAATAAAAACAGTCTGAGAAGATAAATCATAGCAAATGGTGTTCTAAATATATTCTCAATTTGACTATTTAGCTGCTTGTAGAAATCAAGCTGTGATATGTAAACAAGTATCCTGCATTAAAAAACATGGTGTTAAGCCCAGATATAAGTAGCATCACTGATCTTCAGCATTTCTTTTTGGGTGACATATCTTTACAATTTTATGTTGATGTTTATGAGAATTTTTTCCTTCAATATGTTCTAGGGGGAAAAAAAAATCAGGAAACTAGTTAATTGCATGGATATTGTAGTTCCCTCATTAGAAATATGACTTCCTCTTTCTAAATGTTAGAGAGCTTTGCTCGAGTTTTCTCTATAAAATTCCCATGCTATAGCATCCCGCATTTCTTGTTTTTTATCTTTCCAGCTCCAGTAATAGGAGCGTAAATGTTCATTGCTGTGTTTGAAAAAAGATATGCTCAGGTTTTTGCATTTGTGTAATCAAAACCAGAGGACTGTTTGAAACAAAAGGACCAGATACTTAAGGGCATCAGCAAGCTGGGCTAGATTACACTCATTCTGAGCGATAAAGGCTAAAGCAGTTGATATTATATTCAAGAAAAGAAGAACTGTACCCAGAGGATTTAAAGTGAGGCAGAATTTAGTCCTGCTGGTTTCCAGTCATTCAGAACTGTAACGTAAAAGTTTAGGTTAAAGCCTTCTCTCTGTATTGTTTGCAGTGACATTTACCCAGTATTTTCCAAAGGTGATAACATTTGAAAACTATGTTTTAATGTATTATTCTGCTTAATATCACACCAGGCCAAGCCTCAGGACACTTTAGATCTATCCCAGATATTAAATAATGACTTAGCTGCTACAGTAAAAAAGTACCCCAAGAGGTTTATTGGCTTGGGTACATTACCTTTGCAAGCTCCAGACCTGGCTGTGAAGGAAATGCATCGTTGTGTGAATGAACTTGGATTTCCTGGAGTACAAATAGGATCTCATGTCAATGAATGGGACCTGAATGCACCAGAAATGTATGATATCTATGCTGTGAGTAAATGTTTCTCTGCTTATTTGGTGGGAATTCTGTGACACAGAATTCTATCTAAAATTACCTTGGGACATATTCAGTCATCAGCTATATTTGTAGGTGCATTAAAACAATTGATCCTTCCAGTCGGCTTAGTGTAAATGAAGGAACATTTACAAAACAGTCTCACTAATTTTCTTTAATGATTGGGAAATCAAGCTAATAAGAATATTAATTTAAAATTGCACAGTATTTTTTAAAGAAAGGATTTTAAAGTGCACCTCAAATGTGTTTTATCTGTGGATTCATTAATCCAGCCCCATTACCAATGGAACAGCATCCAGTTCTTAGGACTCTGTAAGTGTTTGATCCCAAATTTCTTACTCAGTCAAGTGAAATCAGTGAGTTTTGAGATTCAGATGATGTAAAATTGGCATTTTTCAGGCCCAAACCCATTTGCCCCCCATGCAGTTACAGCTGACTAATCCTCAGTGATCAGAGAACCTCAGTTTTAATTATATATGATAATTCATTACAGGATATAATGACAATAATATGAAATAGAACATTCTGAAACATACTTTATAAAATTAATAATAAAATATTTTTATGATACGAGTGTTCACTGTAAAGAATTGCCATCTTGCTTTCTGAGAGTAAGTGCAGTATCAAATAAGGCACTTACTTAGTCCTGTGTTTGCTTTTGTGTTCAAGTTATTACAGCCAATCTTATCGAGTAATTGAAAAAACTCACTGAGATTTTCTGAGATGGTCAGGGCAAGATACCTATAGAGCCAAAGTACCGCCCAGACTCACGCAAATAGGGCCAAAAATTCCAAACTGAATGTATTGATTGTAAAATGAGTTCATAGACTGCACTTCTTAAACAGCCTGACGTCCAGATGGGGACTCTTTGTTTGTCTAAATGATGGGATTTAATCAATGTATGTTCTGTCTCTGTTTCGGAGGTTATTATAGCTGTCACCTTGAAATTGATTCATAGAGGGTATTTTTCAAAACTCTCAATTTATTCAAGAATTCTGTTAGTGCAGCATTTATTTGGTTTTATGGTCACACACAGTCTGTTATCAACTTCCACTTTTGGAGATGCATACATTCTTCAGCTTATGTTTAACACTTGTAGGAAGTAACCTCTATCACTTGTAGAAACGTCTTTGGATAATAAAGATTATGAAATAAAACCATATTTGATAATGAACTTTACCAATCCATCAACACAGTTATTGAATTGCTGGTTTTAATTTACAAATCTAGATGACAATTACTCCCTAGAATCCACAAGTTAGAGCTTTATTTATTCATTTAATGGTAAATAAACCCAAAGGATTCAACCTTGTGATAATCTCCTTAGCAACAAGAGGAGGTCCAGAAATACAACTGACAAAATGAAGCTGTTTAATCTTCGTTAAGCATATGAATGGCGCTGATGACTATATACCTCAATTTAAGCATATAGTTAAATAACTCAATCAGGATCAGTATCTCATATCGTTCCTCTGTTTTCCTTTCCAAAATTGTCAGCAGTTTTGGCAAATTTAATGTACTTGAGTGGAGATGGATTACTGATGAGAATGCAACCAGATTTCTAACTGTTAGGGTAAATTAGAAAGGGGTTTAATATTTGTTTAGCCAGGCAGCAAGCCAAAGGGGCCAATTGTGGTGCAATAGCAATGAAAATTCCTGAATGCAGCTGGAACACTTCTGTAAAACCATTCTGATCTAGAAAATATTCTGAGAATTCATCATCATATCTTAAATGAAACCAAAAGAAAACTAGTTTGAACTGAGTTTTATCCTGTAGGATGACTGACATGCCCACAGCTAAAAAAGCATTTTTGCACTACATTAATCTGAGGAGCACTTTGGCTTAGTAATAAAATATTACCATCAGTGTTTCTGCAGCAGTAGTCCAAATAAGAATTTTGAATGTGAATGAGGACTTCAGGATATGGACCAGAAGAGTAAATACAACCTACTATTGCATATGGTTTTCAGTTCTGGGACTGTTTTCATCACTAATAATTTGATGTTCAGTACAATTTTGCAGGTAGTCTTTAAAGCATGGCTAAGAACGTAGGTACGTTTTGGTACGACTAAGTCAGGATTAACATTTTTTCCCTTTGCTAAAGGCAGCTGAACAATTAAATTGCTGTCTCTTTGTGCATCCCTGGGACATGCAGACAGATGGAAGGATGTCCAAGTACTGGCTTCCCTGGCTGGTAGGTGAGTGTATTGCTTAATCTGTATATACAAACTGTTACTGAATCAAGCCCAGGATATTTTTGCAAAGGTGCTAGCGCACAGGAAAACTACAAGATTTTTTTATAAATCTGTTTTTTACATCTAACGCTACCATTAAGGCTGTTGTGGAAATTCAGCAGTCCCTTTTTCTAAGCCTGCATAGTTTGCCTAATCTTTTTATATCCAGAACTAAAATGAGTAAGACGAGCAACAGACTCTGGTATTCTCGTCTCCCAAGTACAAAGAGAGCAAATGACAAGGGAAAAGTCAACTCCCTCTAAAATGAGAACGCTCCCAAAAAAGAATTTTGAGTCGAAGAAGGACAGGGAGAGTAGGCAAAAACAAAAATTATTTCCTGGAATTTCTTAGGATTGTTTCTTGGAAATAGGTTGATCAGGAAGGATATTGAATTTAAGTTCACTTGAACTATTACAGCTCAAACAGCGTGTACTTTGGAAACTCCCCAGATATGTAGTTGAAAGGGAATTATGTAGTTCCTATTGTTCCCCTACTTGCTAGATATATCAGAACAACACTGAATAACACAGAGCCTAACAGGGAAAAGCTACTTAGAAATGCTTAGGCCAGATTCTACCCTCACTTATTTTGTTTTGCATGGTGAAATTCCTCTGACTCCAGTAGAAATATTCTGAACAGAACTGGGAGTTTTATGCAATATATGCTGGAAAATCTTAAGTGTTCCAGTCACCACTGTATTATTTCAAAACAATATCAGTTGGTCTTAATCAGAGCAGGCTCAACAACACAGACTTCAGAAGAGATTAAAGTTGTTACATTTACTTAACAAGGTGTAATAATCTAAAAGAAGATTCTCCTAGTAAGTGTATAAGGCTTTGCATCTCAAAGGATGTACAAACATGAATCAAAGTCATTCCATTAAGCTGGATAGGTATTGATACTCCCATATAAGAGTACTCACATCATAGCTCCTAATTTCCAAGCTGGATGTCTAAAGTTAGACACTTAAATGACATGATATTGTAAATACATTAGGTATACTCCGAAACTGAAGCCTGTCTTAGGAACCTTAACTGCTCGTAGGTTCCTAACTCTAGGCACCCAAAGGCAAAGAGAGACAGAGATTCTGTCTTAACTGCGGGCACTGGCACCAGGTCACAACCAAACCCCAATTCCACGTTGGAATAGCCACCAACATATCTGCCCCACTTTCCACACAAAGGAAACCCACGAGCACAGGGGAGAAGAGAACGTGGCATATTCCAGATCAGTCTTTGAGTGAGGATAACTGGGGAACCAAGCCTATACCATGCAGCTGAGCGTATATCCAACCTGCCAGCCAGCTGTCCTAGCAGTCTGGGATAGAAACTGGGCTTTGAATTCAGAAAATCTTAGCTTCTAGTCCTGTGTTCTCATTACGGTTAATTAATGCTCAGTTCAGTGTTCCGCTAATGGAAACAATGCATAAATTTCACCAGCTGCACTGTAACTGTCATTTTTGCGCTAGCTTCAAGGCCTATTGAGGATAACATTTAACACTCAATCTTTGCCAAATATATGATAAAGTTTTTTTTTGTGTTGTTAGGCATGCCAGCAGAAACAACCATAGCCATTTGCTCCATGATTATGGGAGGAATCTTTGAAAAATTTCCTAAGCTGAAAGTTTGCTTTGCACATGGAGGTAAGTAATATACCTCGTGAAACTGTAGTCGAACCTGGTACAGTTGTATTTTCTGATATGCCGGCTGATGGGGTTATCGGTCTAAGCCTGACGCCCGCTGAGTACTCTTACCCCAGAGAGTGAGGATATCTGCTAGCTACGTTGCTCATATGAACACTCTTCAGCCAGCGTTTCAGCTATTAAGGTAGCCTTTAAGAGGAAGCAAAGAGGAAGGGAGAGAAGTTAAGGGAGGCAGGAGTTAATTGAAATGATTAGGGAAAGGGACAAGGAGGCAGCAGCAAGAATTTGGGGCTCCCTGTAATGAAGAGTCGCAGAAGAGAGAAAAGGAAGGTGATGAGAGGGAAGGAGTAGAAATATGGCAGGTACAGAACACATTTTTTCTAAGTAACTGACAACCATACTTGGGGATCTTTGTGCTGGTAATGCGGCTTTTCCCCTATATATATTTAGCTTCTGTTACTAAAAATGTCTCCTTGCAGGTGGAACTTTTCCATACACAGTGGGGCGAATCTCCCATGGATTCAATGTGCGCCCTGATTTGTGTGCAGTGGATAATAAGGTGGATCCAAGAAAGTACCTTGGTTCATTTTATACAGACTCTCTTGTCCATGATCGTGGTGCACTGAGGCTACTAACAGATGTAATAGGAGAGGTGAGTTTTAATGCTTCCAGAGGCAGGCGAGTCATTCTATATTTAATTCTGTCTCTAAGAAAAAGCAAAACAAGAGAAAAGAGCCGAAAGAAGCACATTCAGTAAAACCAGAACCCAGGCTATTATAAACTGATGTATTTCTGCATGTTGATAATGTTCCTGCAACATGGAGTTCTTGAAATGGTGGTTTTAATCCACGAAATCATGCACTGTGAACTTCACTTCAGTGAGGCTAGTGCCTTGGGTGAGGTTGGTCAGGATAGGACTGCAAGCAAAGATTGCCTTATTTGGAGCCTTGTTTTCAAATGGCTTAGTTTTCAAATTCAAGGGTATACTTGAGGAAATGAAATAGTATTTCTGCTTGGGAAGATGTAGGCAGAACAACATCAGCAATAAAGAGTTTTGGGGGGGATCTTGAGTAACACATTAAATGTCATAGATGGCAAAATATTTTAATTGTTATAGTAGAAAGTGAGTAAATCTTAGTAGTTTAGCAGCTTGTTTAAGTCAGATACAGTGTGGGACAGAAACATCCAAGACAATCATTGTAATGTTTCAAGTAATTCCTCCTTATTAGTAAATGCTCAGGAAGGGGTTGAGGATGGCATCACTCAGGCCAACTCTCAGTAGCTCATGAGGAATTAACAAAAGCCCTGTATTTGTGTCCTGATCTCTGAAACTCATGGAGTTTCTGCAGCTAGCAGACAGATACCTACAAGGTGAGAAAAATAGAAATGCAAGCTCTGTCAATGACTTTCTTGTCCCAGGACTCTCCATAAGCATATTCAATACACAGTGTCTCAAGCATCTCCCTAGTCCACTGCCAAAGAACCTTCCTGGTTAACAATGGTCCTTGGAAGGCACTTTTCCTTATGCGGTAGCAAGTCATCGTTTGACCTAAGCAGCCTCTGTGGGGCTAAGTTTTGTTACCCTTTGAACGTTCTGGAGAAGGTACTGAAGCACTGGCCGTTTGCTAAAGGTCAGGGATGCCCTCTCAGATTGCATCTGTTAGACAGAACCTTTTATTGGTGCTAGCTTTTTTTTTTTTTTTTTTTTTTAATTACCGTTCTAAAAGCCTTATGGGGGAGTTAGATCAATATAATCTTTCTCCCCGGTACCTGTTTCTTTCTCTCCTATTTAGAAGACAGTCCTGCTTTGCTCAGTAAAATAATTAGTTTCATAAGATGCAACTTTCTTTGCTAGATTGGGTATCATCTGTACTTGATTGTCTAGTTGACAACTCTAGTGAGGAGTAAATCTCCCTTCTCCACCTTTTCAGCATGTGTCTTCATGTGCAGTGTCTCCTTCACAGAACCTTTGTATCTTTGCATTATCAAGCATACGTTAATACAAACACCTAAGCAGAACAATTGCAGCCATCCTGTCTTGGAGAGGGAAAAGAATGGTATTGGGTGGTTGAGCCTGAGACCAGAAGACAACCTACAGCCTGTTTTATCTACGTGAGCAGACGTAGTCTTAACAGTGACATGACTTTATATTTGAGTGAGCCATGTGCTGGTAATAGAATTAGCCATGCCAGTTTTACATTATTTTAATATTCCCCTACTCAAAGGAGTCCTTATCCAGGATGGCACTCATAAGATGATGTGGGAACAGAATTCTGGGCTGTTTCAGAAGATTTGGAAAAAATAACAGATTGAAATCCAGGCTTTACTCCACAGTGCCTCAGAGAAATTGGAAGTCTATAGAATTAGCTAAATACATAAGCTGCAGAAATTATTTCAGGCAGGGAAAGTGTTGAGCATATATAATGAAAAACTATTTAATTATTTTAATGACAATAAATTAGACTGTCAAGAAGAAGTGCTCGAAGATAGTGTTTCACTAATGGCAAAATTTGTCAAGAAAGAAGGAAGTCTTATTCCAGTAAGGCAATTTATAAAGCAACGTATCATTCAAATTACTGAGTAGTCTCACTGGAATGAGACTTCTTTCTGTCTTTCTCATAGTGAAAGGGGATAAGGAGATGTATGTATCTAAATAAGCAGCAGATTAGGCTTCTTGCTGTGACATTCCGCAACCGCAGTGCTGAAAAGTCATGAGTCATCTCAAAAATGTAAATGCTTTTAACAATCAAAAGAATTTAAGAAACAGTACATTATGGGTTCTTTTTCATAGCCTAAGACGTTTTATCCTTGAAAAAACACTCACGTATTGTTTTCAAGCTTTCCTTTGTAACAATGAGGAGTAAAAACTTCCTTTGTTTTCCGGTGAAAGCTGACATTCTCACATAATAACTTTCCAAAGGTCAAGGGCTTAAAAAAAATCCACCAAGTATCTCAATATTTTCCATGAAATCATGAGTGTTGGCAGAATAATAAATATAAGATGAATACATGCTGGGCTAAAAACAGAGTGATTGGGTCTTGAGGATCACATTGTAACTTTGCCAGCTGAGGTTTGAAATAGGACAGCTCTCTAGAGAATAGCTGAGAGCTGGGCAGGCAGGGCATCAGGTGCGTGTAAAGATGTGCCTAGACGTGGCTTAAGATCCTTAGGGATTAGCCATTACCTGACATCAGAGTGTGATGCGTTGGCTTTGAGTATATGAATATTAAAATCTAGTGACAGCTCTTAGGAGTCACGTGCCTTTAACTTCATCCTTTCTTAATTTGGGGTGCAGATTAATTTGTACTCCAGAGCCTATACCAGTTAAAGGAAGCAGAAGTATTCGTTTCTGAGAAAGAATTGTGTAGGACTGCAAAATTGCTGCGTTCCTTCCCTCCTCCGTGATCAGGTAGCATGCAGTGCAGTGAACACAACTACAGCTAATATGGCTATAAAGAGTGAAGAACTAGGCTGACGGGGGATTAAATGGTTCAGTCTATCTCTACAAAACGTTCCCCATGGTGATTCCTCAAGAGCCATCATCAGAATGTAAAACATGCTCTGGCCAGAAGTCAGAGCTGAACAGGCTGCAACAATCTGGCCTTTCTTGAGGTGTATCCTAATAGTAGGAAAGAAGATGAGATCCAAGGTGCATCACTACTGTAAAAGAAAGAACTCATGATTGATGCTCTTTGAGATTCTTTTTAAGAGTCAGGTCCCTACTACTGTGAAAAAAAAATCTTTGGCAGTTCTGTTAAGCAGAAGAGTCTGCTGAGGTTAATCACTGCAAATACGTGCCTTTCTAAAAGGAGAAATGAATTATTAAGATACCACACTATAAATCCTCCATTGAAAACAGATGTTGTGGTCTCCTTTGGAATAATGTGACAATAAATAGTATGTTAGGAGTATTTTTCTACAGAGACTTCACAGTACTTATCTGAGGCTGGCTGCTAAACACGGGTATTGTAATCCTCACTTTATAGATGGGACAAAACTGAAGCTCAGAGAGTTTCAATGAATAGCCTAGTATCACCTACAGCAGAGCAACAATGCTATTTCTAGATTTTTCTCATTAACGTATGGCTCTTAGTTTTACTGCTAACGACTAGAACATGATTGGCTGTGAAACACTTGAAAGGAAAATAAAAAGATAACTGAGATAATAGATACAGATTATTCCAAGGAGGGGGTGGCATTTGTTTCTGTTCTGGTATATGGGAAATGTAAAGAAGAACATAAGAACCTTCCTGGCTTAGTTAACCTTGACTAATAACCATCTAGGAAGGCACTAGATTTCTGTTTCCTTTACCAAGAAATCTGTTTTCTCTTATAAACCGAGCATGGTTTTGATTCTTTCCTATATGGCATACATTTGTTTTACATACGTGCAGAAAATGTATTGGTATCAGATAGACTATTATAAATAAAAGAATGTCGTTAGTTGCCTAAACGTTTATATGCACATCCAAATATATTTTCGGTCTAATCTACACTCAGAATTTGATTTATATTAGACAAAGGAATATAAATTCTCCAACTCTAACCTTACGGTAAGACTTCTATAATAAATTATATTGCAACAATATAGGACAGAACAATTGAATATGTATCTTCTACTGAGTTTTCCCATACAGTTCTATATAGGTTCTTTCAGAGACTCTTGGGTGACATCTACTGGAAATAAAATTAATAAACATCATTTACAAATAAGAAAAATAAATCATTTCATAAAATATCTACAATACATTTTCTTTGCACTATTTCAGCATAGCTGAGTTCAAATGCTATAACCACCACCCAAAAATTCATGAGCTTGGCTTCAAATTCATGAGATATTTTAAAAATGAAAACTATGAAAACTTTTAATGAAAACTATGGTTTTCAAATAGTCCTAACTCTCCAGGAGATGAAGCTTAAAGGAAAATGGACTTAGGATAAAATCAAGAGAGTTGGCAACATTCACTGTTCAATATTTGTGTATAAAACATTCACTCTCTAAGGTAGATAATGTGAGGAAATACAATTTCAGTGATAAAATGAACCTGTAGCAATGTGGACCTACTGAGGATTTGCCTGTTTCTGATCGGTTTCAATCTCTGAAGGGAATAACGCATACAAATTAGTACTGAATTTTCTTTTAGCTGACCGTCGCCTTCAGAAACAAATCGAATCACGTCCCTCATATCCTCAGATACATTTTTCAAATTCACAGCTAATACCCAATCCCAGTCAAACATAATGAAATTTTTAAAAATTACAGACTTCCCAAAAATATGAAATTTGGTAAATGAGGTCTTTGGTCTTATTAGCTGAAGCCGAATACTAGTTAAATTAAATAGATTATTTCTATTTAAATGCCTGTAGTAGTTCTACATTGTCCCCTGCTTCAAGGAGCTTCAGTGTAGCTTCAGGTTGCAATTATTGCAACTTTCAAAAAAGACACGCATAAGATAATTTTGATTGTTTTGAATTTTTTGTTACATAATTTTATGCATAGGTGTAACTAAGAATTTCGCATTTAAGAACCCGAATGTCTTCTCTGAGTTTGGTGGAAAACTTCCTGAGATTCTAGAAGAAATTAGCTCTCATATGTCAGAACCTATAGCAAGGTTGGATCTCCCCCCCAAAAATGGTTTAGCTCAAATTTTGTTTACACACAGGAATTATTTATTCATGTACTAGGCTGGCAGTAATGACATCCTACTGTTAGTCACGTGAACGCAATGTAAAATACAATATTTTTTCTGGCCTGCTTTTGCAGGTCACTTGGCAATCTATAAAGAAGATCACACTCATGCTTTTTGTCTTTTTCGGACTGCATAAACAGTGCAGAGCATGCAAGTAACCTACCCGAACATGAACAAGAACTGAAAAGTAAGTCAATAAATAGTAGGAAGAAGCCTATGCTCCCTTCATTGGCCACTTAATTGTGGGACCACATAACCATGAAACTACTGGTAATAGGGAAGATGAACAACAGATTCCTTCTTGATGCATTTCAAAGCCACACCACATTACAGAATACCAGTCTGTGGAGGAAACTACCACTTGTATTATATTTATCCAAGCAATACGCGCTCATTCCGTGTGCCTGGGATTTGCATTCTGAACTTTCTGAGCATCAAAATAAAAATATACCAGTTAGTTAGACATCATTACAAAAACATTAACAAACACCTAGTACTTTTTTCAAACTGCACCCAATATTCACTCAATATTGCTCGCATACAATAAAGAAAACTCTGAGTCCTTGCTTTCAAGACCTATGGTTTTTTCCTAATCAAGGCTGGAATCCAAAGATTATTTTCACATCCTCTTTTGTAATGAATCAGTCCAATATATACATGTAATTTCCTGCGTATTATTAAAAATTCCAGAAAGTATGTGCAACTATATTATTTAATTTTACTACAGAATATACAACATGTTTCTTTATTACCAGGACAAAGTTATTTTGGGGACAGATTACCCTTTTCCACTGGGGGAACTGGAACCTGGAAAATTGATTGATTCAGTGGAAGAGTTTAACAGTAAACTGAAGGTATAATCTTTATATTTGTTCTTTTTCCATTTTAAGCCTCTATTTTTAGACCCAAGATAAAACGTGGAAAAATTAACGGGGTACACTGACTTCTGCAAAGACTGGAAGAGGCCACGTAGTGTCGTTTCAGGCATTCACCGAAATATTTTAAAGCATGAGTAAAAGCACTTGACTAAAACATGATTTCAGCTCTCAAAAACATATATGTATGTTTTACATGTGCACACACATACGTATGTTTTGTTTTTACAGGATAAACTCAAGGCTGGCAACGCTCTGGAATTTTTGGGTCTTAGCAGGGAGCAATTTGAATAATTATGAAGATGCTAAAGAGACCAAACTTTGGAAATAATACTGAATCCTTATGTATTATTATACTGATGAAAAAGATTGACAAGCACGTTACAGGCTACTGTTATTTCCAAAACAAAAGCAAAGGTACTGGAAATGTGTATGCTCAGGCATTTCTCTGTATTTGAGGATTTAGGTTCTCTTTACACAATTTTGAAATTCCTGCTTTCATACAAAACTGAAGATTTCGTTTTTTACAGATTCTCACTCAGCATCTCTGAATGAGAATCAATGCCATAACATTAGAACTTGATTCTTTGGAAAAAGGAGCTGAGAAAAATTATGACTTGTCTCCATTACATTTCAGTCTTTGTTATTTCTGATGCCAAATAAACAAAATTTAAAAGGCAGTATTTGCCTTTACCCACTGATTGAAATTGCAGAAAACTGCACTTTAACCCAGCACTTCAAGCGTACCTACTGACATTTTGTGAAAGGGTGAAAAAGGTGTATGCACTTTTAATTTTTAGCTGCTGCCTAAATCACTGGCCACCATTTCATCAGAAACAATTTGAACAATATGGTTGTAGGTGCAGAAATAATGTGTGTGTGTGGATAATACTTTGCACATCACTGTCACTGTCAAATAATAGTAGTATTTAACAACAGCATGGTTTAATGTTCTGTTCTTTAAAATTATTTCCTAAAAACAGGCCTGGATACTTTAAATGAAATGAGGTATGTCAACGCTCCTTCTAGTTTGTTTTGTAGACTACTGAAGGGTAGATTGAAACAGGTTTTCATGATTATCAGGTGAGAATGAGCATTCTCCTCCTGAGAGGATTTTAAAACTAGTCAGGAAAATGCTGATGAGCGCTTATTACCTCCCATTCTTACGCGTTTGTTTGCTTGCTACATGTGATACCGTCATTCTTCTAAATAGTCTTGGAACACTCCAGGAAAAATAACAAACATAGGGGTTTTTTTTATTACTATAGCTGTGGCCATATCTGTTCTTACATCAGATTGAACTGTAAGGATGTTGAACATCAGCAGTTTCTGTTGATACGGGCCTCTATGGAACTACAAACAAAAAAGGTCTTGTTCTTCCTTGGTGTCAAAAAACCCAGATGTTATAGCTTTGGCTATCTATTGCATTTGGATCTTTATTATATTGCTTCTCCAAAACAGATTCCACAAAAGACTACGGGACATCAGTATTTGCGGAAGTAGTCAGCAGCTCATAGGTGAGCCCTGTGAATATCAGGTTGTCATATAAGAGGAAGTAGGACAGAGATGAAATAGTTTTAACAATATTAATTGTCCTCAAATTTGCAGACTTCTGTTGACCTTTTTTATATAAATATCTACAAAAGGGTAAAATCCTCAATGACGTGCACGTATGGTGTTTTTCAACCACAATATTTTAATTTAATTTCAAAGTAGAAGAAAAGCAACTTTGTTCTAATATTCTCTTCCTTCAGAATATTAATTTTCACAGATGTTTAAGTGGATTTAAGAGACAAATACATTGTGATTGCTCCAATACATTTTAATCAGATTAATTTTTTTTTTTTTTCCCCTGAACAAAACCTGTTAAGTTAGTGAGAACCCAGTGTTTGCATCTTTGGGGACCACGTTCTGGAACCTCTTCAACAGCAAAAACAGTATTTGATTACCTTAACCTGTGACTGAATGACTGATTGCAGTGCTCTGCACGATAATTAATTAATGTGCATGCAGTGCTTAAATCAGATTCATTATGCTCTATCATTATTTAATGATATTTATTTATTCTTGATGTCTTCACTTAAGATTTCAAAGTGGAATATAATCCTCTCTGCGTGTTTTTTAAGGATAGTGATGATATAAAAACACAATTACACAGTCAGACAAGAACATTGCTAATATTCTTCCATCTATTTTTAGAGGAATAAACATAAGCAGAATAGCCCACCTCCATGAGTTTTATGCAGTGGCTTAAACAGTGGGGTCAAACATTGCACTTTTAAAGGCAGATTTTCAAAGACTTCAGAAGCTTTGCCCAAAAACATGAAAGCAAAGATAAACTCCCAATCACAACAGAAAACTTTGTAGTTAAATTTACTCTACAGATGGAAAAATCTTAAAAGATGATCTACAGCTGGAACGATTAGGCAAGTAATTAATGTGTACCCTGGCTGCATTGTACCTCTACTGTATATTTCAGTAGGGTTCTAGCATGTCTCATTATACAGTGATAACTCCTTGCATAACGTTTGTGCTGAAATTGTAAAAAAAAAACCTCATTGTGACTTAGCTCTAGGTGACCAAAACCACTGTAGAACACTAGTGGCATATGCTGCACATAAAATGAGCACTCGGAGCTCTCATTCTGATCCATGGCCGTCAGCACGTCAGACAAAAAAGCTTCACAAATGCAGAATTGAGAATGGTCTGGGGAATCTATCTGGTGCCTTCAGAAAAACGAGTCCAGCCATCTCAAGTTACTAATGCAAATCAGTAACTGAATATGTTAAATACTTCACTAAGCTTGTTCTGTCATGGGTATGGGGGCATCCAGTCAGAACTGCCTGCAAGTTAATCACAGTTAAGTGTTATCTGCAAGCTCACATTATAACCAGTATTAAAATAGAAGGATTAAACGGAGTTGCTTGATAGAGTGGGCTTGAGACATAAGGAAATTGAGGAGGGGTGTGACTTTTCAGAAGCGAAGCTAGAAATGTAACCTTCTTCACCCCAAAGTGATAAAAAGAAAGCAGCTAGGATGTTTCATTCACATAGGCTTTTCATGGTTTATTATCGTAGGCTGTGTCACTACTTGGGCATCTTAGTTCAAGTGGGAATGTGTTTACAGGCTTAACGATAGCCAAATAAAAGCAGTGTTTGGTGGCATATTGTTATTAAGGGTGAAGTAAGAAATGGGTGCAAAATTTAGCAAGTGATCTTAAGGCAGATAAAGTGCAACACGGAGAGGTTTAAGCAGTTCATTGCAATTCAACGTTAGGCTTTTTTGGCACTGAATTCCGAGAGAAATACTATCGGTAGAAGTCAGCGATGCAGGCAGGATCATATTATCATATACACTACACAGTTGAGATACAGAAGATGCTTTGC